TGAGGCTTGGCTGTTTCCAGGAGCCGGCCGCCGTGCCGCTGACCAGCCGCGGACCGTACCCTGGATGGGAACCCTGTTCCCATCGCCGGCGGCGGAAGCTCCGGGTGGGAGAGGAGCAGAGGCGGTCAGATGCAGGTAACGCGGGCGCAGACCCTAGGCGACAGCTTCCCGCCCTGCGAGAGGCGTGGCGCTCCAGCTAGGGAAGGGGGGCCCCTCGGCTCTGAGACCCCGACTCCGCGCCCAGCTGCATCCAAGAGCCTCCAGACCTTTTCCTTGGCACAGAAAGGACAACGCAGCGGGCAGCTGTGTGCCGGCCGCCCTGCTTAAGAAACGAACAGAGTCGAAACCTTCCGGATGTTCTGCTTCAGTCCCAGCCCTCCCCCTGCTCCCCTGAAGCCGCAATGTCCCGCTAGGCTTATTGGCACCTGAAACCGCACAGAGTCGAGGTTGGCCGGCTTGGTGGCAGGTCGGACGGGCAGCCTCGTGCGGGTGGCAAGTGCAGCCTGGTGCCCGCTCCTCTGGCGCAGCCTCGGGTGGGAATGACCAGCCCTGGCACCGCTACCTGCTCTGTGGCAGGCTGCCCACCCCCTCGCCTGCTGAGCTCTGACTCCCGAAGGGGCTGGTCCGGGGCTGGTCCGTTCCTGCCCGAGCCAGGACCTTACTGGTCCCGAATGTAACTTGTGAAATGTGGTTACTTTGTAGACCAAGTACACGCTGATAGACGAGCAGGACATCCCGCTGGTGGAGGGCTACTCCTTCGAGGTAAGGGCGGGGCCCCCTTGCCAGCCTGCGGGGTGGGAGGGCCCGGGAAGCTCCCTGCAGAGCCCCGGCTCCGCGCTGCCTCCATGGCACTCTTCCTCCCCAAGGGCCGCCCTGATCGCTTCTCCTCCCGAAGAAGAGACCAGTTGTGTCACATTCGTGACCGAATTCAACTGGACAAGCCCGGGTGCCTTAGGAGACTGTCCCCCCACCTCCCCTCTGCCCGGGCCCTGGCCCTCCTGGTGCCCTGTGCTCCTTCCTCTCATCTTCCTGGCGCCCTTGCCTTCCACTGCCGCTGCCTGACCAGCTTCTGTTCACGCCCGGTCCCCCGGCGCTCCTCCCTCCCTGACATCCTCGGGCGACGACCCACACACTCCTGCAGCGGCTGCTGGTGCAGGGGGCGCCTCTCGCTGGTTGTGGGCTTTTGTAAGGGGAGGGAAGCTCGTTTCTCTCTGTCCACAGCATTGTGCACAGTGGCTCGTCCCTCGTGCGGTGTGTTGGGGACTCCCAGGGTCCCAGCCCCAGACCCGCTCCGTCCCTTCGCCTCACTCACGCCACTCGGTTTCTCTAAGAGGAATTTGAACGGCTGCCGCGAATCGGAGGCTTCTCAGCAGCCCTGTGCCTGTTCCTCCTCAGGCCAGGATGGAAGTGGACGCGGACGGAAACGGGGCTAAGATCTTCGCGTACGCCTTCGACAAGAACCGGGGAAGGGGCTCGGGCCGGCTGCTGCACGAGTTGCTGTGGTGGGTATTTCCAGGCTGCTTGCTCCCCCTGGTCCTGCATGAACCTGGCGCGCACAGGGTCGAGCCAGGGC